GATGCCAATTCTCCTCTTTCTTGCTGAGGAAGACTGGCCCTGGGCTAACATCCGTGCCCATCTTCCTCTACTTTATATGGGACGCCACCACAGCATGGCCTAACAAGCGGTGCGTCGGTGTGCGCCGGGGGTCCAAACCAGCGAACCCCGGGCTGCCACAGCGGAGCGTGCGCATTTAACCACTTGCGCCACCGGGCTGGCCCCAGAATAAGTTTTTAAAATTATTATTAGTGTGGTAACATTGGTTTATAATGTTATATAAGTTTCAGGTGTACATCATTATATTTCCATTTCTGTGTAGACTACATCATGTTCTAAATAAGTTTTATGACAAAACACACTGTAGAGACTAAACTAGCACCACACCTAAAGCATGAAGTAGAAACGCAAAAAAAGTGCTTTGAATGAAAAGCTTTGGAGCCCTGGAGTGAAGGACGGAGGTAGGGATTCCACCTCCCAACCTCCTCGGGTTCTCACAGAGTCACAGAGCCCGGGCCAGTGGCAGAGTCATGCCTGAGGGGTGGAAGTGAGGGAGAGACACACTTGAAACTGCTCAACAATTGGTTCCTTGGTGGGAGGGAGTGAATAGTGAGCTCCCTGTCTCTAGATAAGTACAAGCTGAGGTTGCACAACCACCTGATGGGGCCACTGTAGAAAGGAATTAAACCTCAAATGGGTAGTCGAATTAGCAAGTCTCCAGGGTCCCTTCCAACCCTGGGATTTTATGAGATTCCTTGAGGAAGAAAAAACAGAGACTCAGAAAGAAAAAGAGAACATAGAGGAGAGGGGGGAAGGAAATGAAAGAATAAAATGTAAAAGGAGACAGGAAGGAAGGCCGGAGGCTGGGGACCGTTCTGTGCATGTGCCAAACATTTAGACAGAAACTGGAGCGTTCCTGAGAGGGCTGGCATTTCAGTGGGCAGTCAGCAGAGTGTCACTGCACCCTGGTCCTCCGCCTCCAGGACCCACCCATTCCAGGCTTGTGGGCTGAGCCTCCGGGCCTGGCCTTGCCCAGGGAGCATGAGGTCTAGCTGGGCAGTCCATGTCCATCGGTTAGGAAGCTTGGCCCAGGACAAAGAAGGGGCAGAACTCTCAGCAACTCTGCACATTTCTCTGGGGGCACTCAGGATCCTATGGGGTCTCCAGGAGGGCTCTCAATCCTTAGGACGGTGGGGGACAGGAAGGAGCCCTTCTCCCCGAACCACTTCCCATGACCAGAGGATTGGGCTGGACCAAATCAATAAGCAGTCAAGGGCCCAGCCAGGCCTGTGCCCAAATGCAATCATGTGGGTGGTTTCCTGAACCAATTGTAGGAATTGGGCCAGTCCCAGCCCCTGCTCAAAGCCAGCATTTGCAGGTAGAACAAAGCAGCCCTCCTCCTAAAAGATGGTATTTCTGAGCTGTGTCCCTGACAGTGGGGTGGGCTGCAGTGGCAGGGCTCTCAGGCTGTGGCCCTCAGAAGGGAATTTGTCTCTGAGACAGCTTTGCTGGTCTGAGAAGGGAACCTGGGCTCCGGCCCTGGAAAATGTCACAGCCACCACCTCTGCCAGGAGACACAGTAGGATAGGATGCTGGGTGTCTGGACCTGGGCCTGGTCCCCAGTCTGCACTGGTCCAAGTAGGAAGACCTGATACCCACAGAGAGGGTGAGGGACGAGAAGAGATTGGAAGAGGGAAGAAGGGAGAGTAGGGATGGAATCTTCATCTACTCCCCTCATTTCTCTACCTTTCTTCTTCCACCTCCCTTCCAGGCCACTCCCTATCCCATGGGGCGATTTGGCTGAAACACACAGGCAGCCCAACTCCAGCACTGCAGGCTGGTCAGGAGCACAGCATCCACTCTTGATCCCTCTGTCTCTCCTGTTCCCCACCCAAGAGGCCCCATTTCTAGGACTGTTAGATCAGTGTGCTTTCAACCCTGATTCTACATGTGCACCCACCTTAAGCCCACCCCAAGAGCCTTACACACCCTGACAGTTGTCCACACATATTCACTGAGCGCCCCTCTCCCAACACACACACGCAGGGGCACACACTTGGTTCCTGGGCTAAGGTACCAGCTTGTTCTGTGGAGTCAATTTTGCCAGGCACCCCTCCCCCCTTTCTGCTCTCCAGCATTTCCCTGCTCTGTAGTTTGTGTTACAAGCCCCAGCAGCCTTGCCCCTATGAATCTCCCCACTGGGTTCTCTGAGAAAACAGAGGCCGGTGTTGAGACACAGGAACTAGGCAGTCCACACACACACAGCCACGCCCAGTCACAGCGACAGTGTCAATCCAAGGAGGACTGTGCACACACACAACACACTCACGCACACACCCCCGAGTTCCCCTTGTTCAGTCTGCAGAGACCCGCCCCTCCCTCCCTGCAAGCCCTCCCCACTCACTTCCAGCCTCCCCCCAATCCCACGTGGTTTCGCCCCTGCATCCTGCAGCTGGAGGCACCAAGAACAGGCGCCGCGTGGAAACATCTGGCGAAATCACAGACAGTCAAACGAACACGAAATCACACAAAAGATCCCAACAGGAAGACCCCAGGGGCTCCTTCCTTCTACGGTTCCTCCCTCTGTCCCCCGACAAAGAGTCACGGAGCCCACATCAAATCGATTGTTTTATTGACTGTTTACATACAGACGCCTTTAGAAAAGGGCGCGGCTCCGGGGGGTGCTCCGCCCCAGGCCGCACTTGTGCTGCACTTCACGGACAGGACTGGTCCCCACGCCCAAAACCCCCCACCCAACCCCGACCTTTCCTTCCAGAATGAAAAAAGACCCCTGCCCGAGTCGCTGCGCCGCGTCCACCCCCCCTTTCCCTCCCTCCCTGCCCGCTACACTACAGGTCACACTTTACAGGACACAGACTTTTCTCCTACAGAGCACGCTCGTCTAGGACTACACGCCGGGGAAATACTATTCTCCCGGAGGGAGGGACGGGACCGGGAGACGCGAGGACCGAGGGGCTTTTCTCCACCGGGATCCCGCCGCACGGTCACGCGCAAGCTTTGTGCGAACCCAGGCGCAAGTCCTCACGAGAGACCCGGCCAGGAGGCCACCGTTGGCTTCCCATGCCCCCGGCGCCGGCGCTTTTCGAGCTGAGGTCTCAGCCGGTCTTGCAGCAGCGGAAGCTGAGCTGTCGAGCGCACCGATCTCCTGAAACTCCAACACAGCGACAACGACATTGGCCGGGGACCAAGCCCACACCCTTGGCGGAAAAAGGGCATGCGGTCCTGCGGCGCTGTAAGTTAGGAGAGAGGGCGAGAGAAAACGGATTCTCCCCCACCCCACCCCGCCCAACCCCCGAGAGAGAGACACACACACACACACAATTCTCCCAGAGGCTGGGAAGGGAGTGTTAGCACCAGACCTGGAGTGTCGCTGTCTTTGAAAACAACGAAAATATGAAAATCGGAGCGCAGAGCTGAAAGGCGCCCCAGGCACGGGGCTCGGCTCCAGCTGGTCAGAAGCTGAGTGGGGGTGGGGGACAGAAGGGTTTGGGTCCCAGTCGGAAGGGGGCTTTGAAACTAAAATCTAGGGAGTGGCCACTGAATCCTGGCTTCTGGGACATGCACCCCGGAATGGGCGGAGTAGAGGTCGAGGCGGAACCCCACACCGCTCCACGCTAGGGACATTTGCTAGGGGTCCCGGGCTGACCCTCGAGCCACAGCGTTACCACCAGATGTTTCCAACGTCTTCTCCTGTTTCCTGTGGCTCCAGAGCCCACGATGGGGCGGGCCGCTGGGCAGAATTCGCAGATAACAATTGCGGTGGGAATGGAGAGGCGTGGATTTCGCCTCACGGTCTGCGAGTTGTGTCTTATATGTGGAGGGAGGAGCGGGGAAGTGTGCTTGCCGTGGAGGGGAATTCAGCCCACAAGGACAATGACGGTCGTGGGTGGCGGCAGAATGGCGAAATCGTCCCACTCTCACTAGAAGTCCCCGGTAGTCAAGATTGGGGAGTGATAAGGGGGCGGAGTAAGTGAAGGTGGCGGAGGACAGGGGCGGAGGGGGGCATAAATCCTGCCAGCCCTAGGCTTCTGCTCCCAGGCACCCAAGTGGGGGATGGGAATAGGCGGGCCGGGCGGGCTCCGGGTTCAGCCTGCTGTCTGCCTGTAGTTGCCGTTAATCTCCTGGTCGATGTTGACCGCCTCGGCACCCAGGGGCAGCCGATCACTGTACTCGGAGCCCGCCTCAAACTCTTCTTGGTTGGCCTTGGACTGGGACTCCACCAGCGAGCAGGCTGCTAGGCTCTCCTCCCTCTGCAGGTCCCCACCTGGGTCCCCCTGCTCCGCATCTTCGTCAAGGCCCTCCCCGGAGACCTCCTCTGGCTCTTCACCGCCCGCCTCGCCGCCTGCTGGGTAGCTTTTCTCGGACTCGAGGTAGGAGGCACGCGGGTCGAAGTCGGCCGCGATGCGCTTCTCCATGGGGTCGGGGGCCTGCGGCCGCAGGATAAGACGGTAGGGCTTGCCCGGGTGTTTGGCCAGCAGATGGCAGCACGCGGCGCCCAGCAAGGGCACGGTGGCCAGCACCAGGAGGAACACGCTCACCGCTACGATAACCAGCAGCGAGGGCAACTCCTTCTTGGTGGCGAACACCACTTGCACGTGACAGGCCTCGCCTGCCAGCGCCAGGCACACGGAGTAGTTGGTGCCAGGCCGCAGGCCGCGGAACCAATAAGCGTTGACGCCCTCCTCCACGCGCGACCACTGCACTGCTGCGCCGCCCCCCGCCGGGCACAGATAGAGCAGGCGCAGGGGCCGCCGCCCCGGTCGCCCCGCTCCCCCCGCTCCCCCAGCCCCGCCCAGCCCAGGGCCCCAGCGCGCCGCCAGCGGCGTCAGCTGCACCCGCGCCTCGCGCTCCGCCACGTCCAGCGCGATAACGCCCAGCTCAAAGAGGTGCGGCTTGAGCTCTGCGCTCTGGTTGAATGCGTGGTTGGACACGTACCGCGAGGGATCCCCGTGGCCACAACTCTGCTCCTCCACAGGATCCGCAGATACCTGGTCTTCCACCTCCTCTCCCTCACCTGCCTCCTCTTCCTCCAGCCCCTCTGTCTCCCCGAGGACGCTAACCCGGTCCAAGCCTTGGCCTTTGATTTTGCCCTCGGGCTTGGAAGGTAGGACGCTGTTGCCTCGGCCTTTGGCTGTGGACTTGCGCTCAGAGGTCGGGGCCTGCCCATCAGGGTCACCTCCTGCTCCAGGAGCGTGCTTTGGGGGCCCGGCATCCGCCACCGCCACGCGTACTGATGTGGAGTTGGTGCCCAGCTCGTTGTGGGCACGGCATGTGTAGACGCCTGCCTCTTTGGCACTCAGAAGGGGCACCAACAAGGATCCGTTTGTGAGGGCCAGGAAGCGCGGAGTGGCTGGGGGCGCGGGCCAAGCGGGTGCCGGAGTCGGGGTTGGGACCTCCGTCTGCGTCGGCCCGTCCCCGTCCCCTTCCCCTTCCTGGCCTTCCACGCCGTCCCCGTCGTCCTCCCGGCTCAGGATCGGCGGCTCTAAGACTACAGTGCCACCTGGGATCTGAAGTTGCCATTGCAGGCGGGGCGTGGGGTGTCCTTCGGCAACGCAGTGTAGCATGAGCGCTAGGCCGGCGCGCAGGGGGCTGCCTGGCGCCTCAGACGGCGGCTCGGCACTCAGGCTCACGCTGGGCGGTGCACAGGATAGGGCGGGCAGGCGGTGCACTGGCACCCCCTGAAGCGCGGGAGGCGAGGCGCACGCGATGGAGTCGGGTTCGGGTAATGAGACCCGAGTGCTCGCGGCCCAGGCCTGCAGCCATACAAGGCTGCAACCGCAGTGGAAGGGGTTGTGATAGAGTTGCAGATGTGATAGCGCGCTTAGCGCGTCGAAGGTGCCAGGAGCCAGGGTACGCAGCCGATTGTTGTTGATGCGCAGGGAGCGCAGGTCGGGCAGCGCACCGAGCGCGTCCCGGGGTAGCGAGCCCAAACGGTTGTGGTTCATTTTGAGAAGCTGCAGCGCGCTCAGGTTTCGCAGGTCGCTCCATGGGAAGCTGGATATGAGATTGTGACTCAGGTCGAGGTTCTTGAGCTGGCTTAGCACGGCCAGCGCGCCCGACTCCACCGTGCGCACCTCATTGTGCGCCAGCCACAGCGACGTGACCTGCGTGACGTCGGCGAAGGCCCCGCGCCGCAGCACGGTGATCTTGTTGGCGGACAGACTAAGCGTCGTCACGTTGGCCGGCAGTCCTTCTGGCACCTCGCGCAGCTCCTTGTAGGCGCAGTCGGCAAACTGATGCGCGTACTTGTCCACGCAGGCGCACGGCTCCGGGCACGCTCTGGCCTCTCCTAGCAGCGCCCAGACCAACCATAGGGCCAGCAAGGGCAGCATCGCGGATCCTGCAGATGGAAACCAGGGAAAGAGGAGAGAAGGTGACTCAAGGAGCTCCAGCTTCCCTCCCATATCAAGCTCTGCCTCCGCAGACCCGTCTGGAGCAGGCCCCAGGGCTCCAGTAACCTTCTCCTCTCCAGGAGCCTCTCTTGGACACGAATGGAGCTCAGCAAAAATCTTGAAATTCAATGCATGCACCCTATCAGGGCCCTAACTTCCTTTTCCAGCGGCCTCGTACCTCGACCTTTTTTCCCTACCTACCCCCTCACCCTGGCGCTGGCCCCTCCACGGGCTCGGCTGCTCGCCAGTCTTCCCTGGGCTCTGCACTGACCCCTGTCTGCGTTTCTAAGCCTTCGTTTAACTCTGTAAAAGGGATACACAGAAAGAGGTTTTCTGTCCATGACCGGCTGTCCTCCCTTGAACTCTTTGTCCCACGTACAGCACTCGCACACACACCCATACAGGCGCACAACAGTACAAACACACGCTCGGGCACCGCCATCAAACCGCCAACTTCTGCAGGGGTTTAGAGGTTCACAACACATTTGGTAGACACACAAACACAAAGACACCCAGACACGGACACAGTATACCCTGGAGACCTCATTGTTCTCTCAGCTGAACCCAGCATTTGTCCAGCATTCTCCACCACGGTGCAAAGCGCTTTCCTGTTCACTGTGAGAATTGACAGACACAAGGACACAAGTCCTCACACGCACCGACCCACACACAGGGACACGGCGCACACCGTGCACACAGCCCTCCACTGAGACTGAAATCCCAGCGGATCAGCAATGCTTAGAACTTGTGGCCAGTGGCAAGAGGCATGCGACCCCGGGAAGTAGACTTGCAGGCTCCTCTCCCATCGCGACAGACCATAGCCACCTGCCCTGGGCTGCAGCTCCCGTGAGGGGAGAACCAGGGGTGCTCAGTTAACCTTCCGACTGAGGAAGGAGGTCCTCCCCCATGTATGGACCAGGAACATTGGGGGACCTCACTAAAGATTCTCCCGCCCATCCCGCAGAGCCCAGGCGGCTCCTGGGGTGAGGGGGGAGGGGTCCCCAGCCGACGGGTCCTGGGGACTGCCACTAGCTAACTAAGCAGGGGAAGGTTCAAGGTTCTGCCCCTTTTCTGCAGCTCCACGATGCCTGAGGATCCCCACTCCCAAGTAAAACCTTCTTATCCCCAGCCACACAAACACACTCACACACAGACTCCCCGCTCCCACCTAGGGCTCTTGGCAGTTTCGGCAGAGCCCCTCCCACACTCTAGTCTTTGAGAACCCAGGTCCCCAACTCCGCCTTTGCTCCTGGGGGAGGGGCCCCTCCCCTCCTCTCCCGGTCTCCCCCACACAGCACAGCGAGGTCCGGCACCCTAGGCGAGATCTACTTCCCCCTGGGTCGAGGTTGTGGGGCCGTCCCCGCGGCTTACCCGCTGCTCGCTGATTCCCCGCACGCTGCCCTCGGGCTGCAACCCCTTCTCCAGACTTGATGTCGCCGAGCCAGGACCACAGCCCCAGAGCGCTTCCCACATCTGTTGCTTCGGCTGTGGGGAAGACGGACGAGGGGCAGAGACAGGGACTGGTAAGTTTGGGGACTCCTCTGGCCCTGAGGTCCCACTTCAGTTTTTCCTTTCGCGTCTGTTCCCCCCACCTCTCGCTGGCTGCAGACTGAAGAGAGTCCTCGCGCGCTCCCGGGCTCGGCAGGAACGCGCGCAGTTTCACCCACCTCCCACATCATCTACATTTGTTAAAGCCATAGAGGCTTTCCTCCTGGCCAAGAAAACCTTGGTCACAAGGGGCGCCCCCACGTCCACCGCTCTCGGCTCGGCTCTTCCCAGTTCACCGCACCCCTATAACCCATGCCCCTCCACATTTACACATCTGCAGACATTGTCACTATCCCTAATCACACCGCCACCCCCCCACCGTTCAAACACATTCGCACAGACACGCAGAGACCCTCACATCCTCCACACAGTCGACCTTCACATGTTAGAATTATGCATCATCATGTAATGATCGCGTCAATGTGTTGAGGTCTCGCTATGTTCACACACATTTTCAAAGGCACACCTTCACCCGGGACAATCACCATCCTCTCCCGCCCGCACGCACACACATTCACGCGCACTCACCCTCACGCGCGGGTCCCGCCAGGGCCAGTGAGCTTCGCTGCTAATTGACTGCGAGCCGCTTTTACGCCCCGCAACACGTGAGACGAACCATTTTTGAAGAATTTGGGGGAAGGGAAGGCGCACGACTAAAGGAGAGGAGGCGTGTCTTTCCCTTTAAACTCTTTTTGCAAATGCAGGCTATGGCGCAGACAGACCTGGAGCCGGGACCCGCTGAGCTGCGCGCAGCCAGGCTCGCGCGGTCCCTTCCTTCCCGCACCCCTCCCCGCTAGCCGCCTCCTCCCCGAAGCCACGTTCAACACGATGCATAATTGATAGTGTTAGCAGAGCGCCTCACCCTCCCTGCCATTTTTGCCTGGATCTGGGCAAATACGAGTCCTGGTCTTCCCCGCCCCCTGCCAGTAGACGGGAACCCGAAGACGGGAACGCAGGGCCCTGCCCGGCGCGGGGGGAAGGGACGCCCTCCTCTCTAGCCCACCGCTGCCCCTGCCCAGCTTCTTAAGCCAGACTCTTTACGTCTCCTCTTTTGTGGCTAAACCAGCGTTGAAGCCCAATGCCCAAGGCCCGGGCCGATGTGCACCGCCAAGTGGGGCGGGGCGAGCGGATATCAGCCTATATTAACTGGAAACCAGCCTGAGAGCACCCAAGCGCCTCGTCCTGAGATCTTGCCAGCTAGAGGCGGATGGGGCACCGGGACTGCAGCAGACAGCGGCCCAAAAGGGACGGTTACAGAACGTCTGCGCCTCCTGAGCACTGTGGGCTAGGAACTTAAAGCCGGAGCATCTCTCTCCCTCCCCCTCCCACGCCAGTATCTTCACAGCCTCACAAGCAAACACACCGTCAACCCCACACACTATCCCCCAAAGCCTCCGCGGCCGCCACCGCCCCACTGTCTCACGCCCTCACACAACAGCCGGCCTCAGCAGACTCGGATACTCGCTGTTCCCGACTCTCACTCCCTGTCTCTGGCCAAACTGCGACATTTCTTTTAGCAACAAGGAGGTGGAGGCGCAGGGATGTCGAGGCATTGGGGCTAAAATTCGATTTGTGTCCCCCTGCACTGCCCAAGGCAGCCCTGGAGACAGAGTTGCTGGCCAGAATCGGGAAAGGAGTACAGGCTCCAAGAGACACGCAGAGCCCCGGTCTCCCCGGGTCCTTTCCGTAGACACTGAGCTCTAGGGGCGCACGTGGCCTTCCAGCTCTCACCCCGGGCCGTGGGGTGTCTGGCAGTGGGTCCACAGAACCGATTTGGGGCCTTTGAGATGGATCTCCCTATTTGAGTGTTGAGCATTCTAATGAGCTGAGGAGGTGGGGGAGAGAGACGGGCGAGGAGTGCTGCAGCTATAGAGACCACCCGACCCTGGGTTCCGAGGATCCTTTGTAAATTAAATATGAACAGACTGGCGCATGCACACTCCCCACCCTCCCTCTCTCCTACTCCTGCCGTCGCTACAGGCGGTGCAGCGAACTGAGATCAGCGCGTTTCGCTCAGCCCAGAATTCAGAACCCAGAACTTCCCTCCACCTGCTTGGGCCTGTAGTCCTCACAGCCCGCCGAGGGTGAGGACGCTGGGGGCGCCCTGCGGCCGAAGGCATCTTCCAGGAGGGTGGAGGGATGAGAGCACCCTGACCCTGCGGTGGGACAGCGGGAGCGGGTCCCTAATCCAGGAGTGCCTGTAAATATTCTCAACAAAATATTGGCAAACCGAATTCGAAACCTGTTTGGGCCTGGCTGGGTCGAGGAGGGGGGCGTCCTGGGTGTGTTGTGGCATCTTGGGAACCCTGAGGGAGAGGTTCCGGGAGTCTTGGCCTGAGAAAAGGGGCGTGGGGAGGTGGGTGAGGCGAGGATGGAGAGTCAGCTCCCGGATGGAGAGTCAGGGAGATGAGAGGCGCCTGGCATAGAGGCAGGGACCAAGGCTCCGGCGTGGAGGCGCAAGGCTTGTGGATCCTCCACCTAGTTTTCACCTCTTTTCTGGCTCTTTTTGCCTTCGGTGAGGAGGCGGACGCGGAGGCAGGGGGGCGGGGGACAACTGGGAAGGGTTGAGGAACTGGAAGACAGGCTGGGGAGCGAAGGGAGAATGGGCTCGTTCACTCTGCGCCGGGCACTTCCCTGGACCGCGGGGACCCGCCCCACCAGCGTCTTGGGAACCTCTGGGGCCCGCGGGCCAAGCAAGACCCCTTTCCCTTACTGTCTTGCCGGGATGCGGAAGCCAAGGGAATTCGGCAGGGAGACAGGGCTCCAGGAGCCGGCTAAGGGCCCGCTGGCCACCCAGGCGAGGCGCCGACTCCTGCGGGCACCTGCAGCTCCCGCCCACTCTCCTGCAAGCGCTTTTGTTCCCCAAGCCTGCCTTGGGCGAAAGACAGCCCTTACCCCGCCTTCGACTCTGGAGAGCCCAGTGCCTGCCCTGGCAGGGCTGCAGCCCGAGTCGCCCCGGGCAGAGTCTGGTGAGGACTAGGTGGGAGCCAAGACTCCGGATTCAGCCTCCGATCCCGTCCAGAAGACGGAGCACATCTCGCCCAGCGCCGCCAGGCGCGCAGGAGCGGGTCTAATGTCTAGAAGGTTAATAATGGTACAGTTATTGAAGGGCTGGGGAACCGGGAGCGAAAATACCACCGCTGCGGCCGCCCACGTCTTTGATCGTTAAAGAAACAGGCACTTTATCAGGTGCGTGGAAGTAGGTGTGGGGAGAAGAAAGATCTAAGGTTCCAAGCAGTCAGTGCGGAGATTCCAGATTTAGAATCTGTAGAATCCAGGCAAAGGCTTTTTGACCCGGCTGGGGTCCCGACCCTAGGCAGACCCAAGGGCCGATAGCTGAGCTCCGGGCAGCGTTTTGTGGATCGACCACTAACTCCGATCTCGCGGACCCAGGCGGTCGCAAGGTTGGAGCGGGTTGAAACCCAGTAGATGCCCGCACTAGCTGCCGCGGCTGTGTCCGCGCAAGGTCTCCGGCCCAGGCCTGGTCCGCGCGCGCCCCCTGCTGGAACCCTCCTGCCTGGCGCAGAGACCCGGAGCAGTGGCTGCGGGGAACTCCGCGAGGAGGGCGTCGGCTGGAGCCCGCAACAAGGCGGGCGCTGCTCTGGGCAGTGCAGTCCCACGGGGCAATGTTACGAAGCGGGGGATGCTTAACCAAAGCACTGAAGCTTTCCTTCCCATGCCCACCCAGCCTGCGTCCCAGGAATCTGCACCCTCCTCTCCCCTGCCAACACAGGCACAGCCATCGCTTTGCACCGCATTGTGTTTCCAGCCCCCCGGGGTGCTAGAGGCACCTCTGAATACTCGTTGAACGAATAGTCCCTGGCAGGAACCACTGAACTCAGTTTTCCCGGGACGAACCTTCCTGTACACCTCCCCACTGTCTCTTCACGTGCTGTATGGGGGCCCTAGAAGGCAGTCCTTAAGTCTCATGATTTTGTCAGGGACCTATAAAATGTCCAAGATCTGAAAAAGAAAATCTTTGGCTCTAAGAGGGGAAAAGAAAACTGCAAAGTTGAAAGTACTGGATGTTTCGTTAAATGTTTGGGACGTGTCACATTGTGCAAATGGTTCAGTTGACTGCACTCAGAGTTATACATGCTCTTGAATTTAATGTGGCATGTGGGAAATTTAACGGATGTGGGAGGGCCTCTGAAAGTAAGAAAGTCAGGGTCGGGAAGGGCACCAAATATCCCCAGCATAGCAGCCTGCTCGGGAGACCCTCCACACAGCTGCCCTCCAGCCAGAATCTCCTGAACACTCCCTGCTTCCCGCCTTTCAGCTTCTGCAGTCCTGTTCCCCCACCCCCCACATTCACACGGTGTTCCCACACTCTCCCCAAGAAGCTGCTTTCCTTTTCTGATTTCCAGCAGAAAGCTCACTCCACTGGGGAGCCAGTCCCTGTCTCTACTCCCCCTCCCACCTTCCATCTCTCCTTCTCCTTATATACACTGTACATAGTGGTTAGGAGGAAAGGTTCTAGCATCATTCTCCACCATGTACTAGCTGTGTGACCTTGGCCAAGTTACTTAACCTCTCTGTGCCTCAGGAAAAAAAAGAGTATAAATATGAATACCTATTTTATTGGGTTACTCTGAGGATTAAATGATTCAATATATGCAAAGCACTGAGTACCTGGCACTTAGACAGTGCTCAGAAATGACCTATTATGCTTTTCAACAATAGCTGGAATTAGCCATCGTTGTTGCCTTGCAGAGTTGAGTACAGGTGTGCCGAGACGTTCTGCTGCACGTGCCCCTACAAGCTTGTGTCCCACCTCCCTTGCAAGAGGAAGGACCTTGGCCCTGCCCTCAAATGTCTCTCATCACCCCCTCCCCCCACACCATGGCATAGGCAGCAATCAGAATTACTACTATTATTTGTAAAGATTTCTAGTCTCAGATACTTAAACCTAGATTCTGATGTTTGTGGCTGTTACCAGTGCGCCTGTTTGGGAAGAAAAACCTGCAGCTACAGCCTTAGTGGAAGGTTTTTAATTAAAATCACAATCTGTTTAAGTATTCATTGGGCTCTGTGACTTTAATTATTTTCTAGGGAAAAACACAAAACCTACATTTGCATATTTCAGAGGAAAGTAGCAACTTGTGGCAGTTTGCTGGAGGCAACTGGGAGGAATTTCCTGAATGGTTCTATCGAAGCTCGAAGCTCGACATTATTAATAATCTGGGATCCAGTCCACGACCTTCCTCCCAGTGCTTTCATGAAATTAGCTTAACTTGCTGGCAAGGCCTTTTATTGCCATCAAAATTAAGGACAGCTCTTCCGGGCCATCTCATGTAATTATCCCGGTCTGTGCCTGTCTCACTGAAGATGGGGAACTCCTGCCTGGAAGAAGCAACACTGCTGTCTGGGAGGAACAACATGCTTAGCTGTTCTACCCAGCCCAGGCAAGACCAGTTCTCCCCAGAGGGGTGTCCTGGGCAGTCAGCCCCTCCATGGCAGGGTGAAGCAGGGGAATGGAGGGCAGGGACTCACTTACGATGCTTCCATCTGCAGATAACAAAATTCCCATCTCAAGGTGATTTAAACTATTAAGTGTATCATGTCACAATCAGGAAGCAGGGCTGGTTGATTCAGTAGCTCAGTAACATCCGCAGGCCCAGGTGCTTTCTGTCCCTCTCCTCTGCCACCCTTAAAGGGCTTCAGCCTGAGACGCATGTCCCTTGGTGCCATTGGAGGGCTTCAGCAGCAGCTAAGGTAACATGCTCATCAGTAAGAGACTAGTGGATAGAGAGACTGAATACTCTTTCCACATGCCGCAGCCTCTCCTTAGGTCTTACTGACACGTATTGGCTTAAGACTCCCCATCTCTGAGCCAATCACGGGCAAAGGAGATGGAATTGATTGGCTTAGAGCAATCATCTAGCCCTGAAATGGATGTTGGGGAGTCAATCCCAAGACTCACTACAAGCAAGAAATGCTCTTTAAATAGAATTGTCAGGGAACTGCATGATCAGAGCAATCTAATGTCCTGTCGAAATGAACTGAGAGTGACATAATTATAATGAACCTGAGTAGATACCCTTTTATCTGGAGATTAGACCAGTCTATGCCCATAGTCTGCGAGCTGGGTCAGGACTCAGTGTGAGCAGGGACAGGTCTCAGTGTGTGAGCAGGATCAGGGCTCAGTGTGGGACCAGGGTCAGGGCTCAGTGTGTGAGCAGGATGAGGGAGCTCTCTTGGGCAGGCATACAAACTAGAGGATTCTCTGCTTTCATAGAATTCTTGAAAGGATAAAAATCTGTTCTTGGAAATGCCTATGCTGGGATCCAAAGCTATTTTAAGAGCAGTGGAGTCTTCAGCCGTTAGTTGGCTATTTAAGAACAGGAGACGTCTATGAACTCAAAGATGTTCCTACATGACTTCACATCCTGAACATGTCACCCCGTCCCATGGCAGAGAAGAGAGGCACCTTACTGTCGAGGTGGCAAACGGAAGGAAGAATTCTACCCTGGTCTTATGAAGAATGCGGAGGCAGCACAAAGCTGCCAGCTTCACACGCTCGCTGTGTGATCTTAACCAACCCTTTGCCCTCTCCCCTTCTAAGATGCCACCCCTGCGGAGGCAGGAGGACGGGCTAGATGTGCTCAGAGGACCCTCAGTGCTGCTCTTCCCTGGGACCCTGCTCCTCCCGCGCTGCGGCTTGAGAAGCCAGTTTGCAGGTTGAGTTGGGGCCTGTAGGGGGCATCTGCCGGGTTTCCCGGGATGACGTCTTCGGAAAGTCTGGGGACCATTGGTGCCGCTCTCCTCATGGCCCTGGGCAGTTTCTTTGTTTTCCTCCTACCACACTGCAACCTGCCTCATCTCTGGAGGTCATCAGCACACCTGGGCCCAGGAGGTAACCCTCTTCCCAAATTTGCTGCGCACTGCTGTGCGGGCGGGCGTGTCTCTTCCTCAAGGCCCTTCACATGGTAGGACTGGAGGTGGGGGTGGGGGGTGATGTCATTAGAGATGAAATGCGATCATGGACTATTTCAGGAGCCTGGTGTGTAGGCCCAGGAAGGAAGGCCAAGGCTGCAAGGGCTCCCTGGCTGGTGGGGTCATGCAGGAGGGAGACATGGCTCTTCTACCCCTGTCTGCTCGGGGATCCTCGGTTCTCCATGGCCTGGTGCCATCAGTGGACATGGAGAGAGGCCACAAGGAGCACGTAGTCAGAGACTTCCT